CGTGTTTATTTCTTCCATAGTTTAGACGAACTTAAACTCCCTGTTAGCAAATAATCTTAGTTAACTTAATGACGAACCATTTAAGCTAACAACGTAAGTACGACTAGTTCTCCTTAAACGTTTAATGGTTATCAGAATTAAAGTGAAAAAAATAAAAAAAAATAAAATACAAAGTTTAAATAAAAAAAAATATGAAGTATAAAAATGATCAGAAGTAAAATATATTGTTTTCCATAAATAGAAATATCAATCTATAAAAAAATTAAGTGTAGTGATCAGATGATCATAAGTCTAATTTAACGAATAAAACATATACTGTAGATACTATAATGGCACAGAAAGTCTTTGACATCATCATTAAATTCAACCTTAAATGTTTGATTAATTATTTTCATATACCGTAGATATTATAATGACGCAGAAAGTCTTTGACATCATCATTAAATTCAACCTTAAATGTTTGATTAATCATTTTCATATACCATAGATATTATAATGGTGCAGAAAGTCTTTGACATCATTATTAAATAGTTCTGATGAGTCTTTTAATAAACCTTAAATGTTTGATTAATTGTTTTTACGTTTTAAGCCTTTTTTATTTATTGTGGCTTTATTAATTTTTTTTAAAGAATTCGAATTCTGTTAATATTTTTTTATGAAATCCATTTAGCTATGCCTCCAAAGTGGAAGACGGTGACTATACCTAAAGAAATAATAAAAAAGAAGCATCAGACACGATCTTTTACGAATAAGACTAAATTATAGTTGATACAGATATTGCTCAAAACAAAGCAATTAATAGTTTGGATATTCCTACCAACACAACTATGAAAAACCCAAGGAATAATATTCAAAATAAAAATCGGAAAACAATTATAAAAAAACCAAGGACTTAAATCCTACACTTCAACCAAAGAAAACATAAGTTAGGCAAATAATTATTGATAGTAATAGTGATGAAAGTGAATCGGATTCGAGTGGTGAGTAAAGTGAGTATATTATTGTTGATTACGAATTAAAATCAATGATTGTCATTTTGTATCTTTAGATGTTCTGAAAACTTTGGAAATAAATGCTTATGATACTGTTAACACTTTATATAATAAAAATGAAATTGAAGAGAATGATCGGGAAAAAAGAGAACCAGGTATTTATTATTTCATGTACTAATCTTACTACACTACACGAATATTGAGACTGTGGATGATGATAAATAATAATTTTAATTTTAATAGATGATGAGAGTGACTCCTGAAAATATAACTTACAACCAAAACATCCAACGAATTTCAAAAGATGTCTAATGAGTTTGAAATCGCCCTGTGGGTGGCTCATCATCAAAGAATTTTGAAATTGGCAATAGATATTCAAAATTCAATGGCGGTTAGTGTACCAGTAAATGGAGAAGAATCTGAAACACTCCAAATTTCCATTTCTACATCATATCCAATATCTAACTTGTCAGAAATTAGTCAGGTAATACAATATATAGTAATAAAAGTTTTATTATATAAAATTTATACTAACTAAATATTTTGGATTTAGCATACTAAATTTCAATTACAGAAGGAGTGTAAGGCTCTTTTTCTTCGAACAAGAAATAATACAACAGCATTATATAAGGAATTAATTGTAAATGTATGCAAAATTACTAAAGCAGACCCTCGAATAGGATTATTGCTTAAAGATGTTGGTGGATGGTATGATACATACAGCTATAAACTCCATGCAAGTATTGTAAAACTTGCTAATAAGGTCAAATCAATACATGAATGGTAAGCATTGTGATTTATTAAAATTTAACAAATATACAAATAATATTTAAATAATTATAAATATAGGGAAGACGAAATATCCGATGATGAATTAAATGAATTTATTAATAAGGATGTATGACGGCAATTATTTCATTTGCATCTAAAGGCAACTGATCAACAAATTTTAAGAAAAAATCCTATAATTATTGAAAAACTTGGTACTTTTGTATGTCAGATTATTAAAGCTGTTATAATTGCTCAATCAAATCAAACAAATACATGAATTGCAGTTAAGAGTTGTGATGAGTATACTATTGATTTAGCAATTCTAACAAAACTTGGAGTGATAAAGTTATTACCAGTTCGAGAATTATTGACTTGTTAGTTAATATTTGAATAATGTTTATTACTAGCAATATTTTAATAAAATTTTTATAAGTATAATGTTTTAACCAATTAAATTTAAGTTTTCATATTACAAAAACTTTTCATGTTACGATTGTATTATGAGTCACGAAACTTAAGGCCTTACCATAACAATATACTAATCATTTTACATGACAATACCGTGACATAATAGAAACATTTCTGTATCACATGCATTACAGTTTTCTGTGTCACCCTATTATAAATATATTATAATTAAAATTATACATAAAAACAAATATTATAATAACCTGATAGTAAGATTATAAATATATTATAATAATATATAATATTATAATAAGATTTTAAATAATATTTATAAGTCAATATAGAATTTAGTATATGTTAACAATATTATAAATATATTTAATAATATTATAATCATATTAAATCAATTAAATATTTTAATAATATGTTAAATATATTACTAATATATATTAATAATATTTTTAACATATTTAATAAAATCGTAACTTTCTGTAAAGCATTCTAGTAAAGCTCATATGTTCATAATTTTATTATTGTGAACTTTATTCTGATAAAAATTATTTGCGTATTTACTATCTTATGCAACAATGAAAAATAATAATACATTAATAAATTAATAAAAAACCTATTTTTACTTTTTACTCATCTATCTCAACTTTCTTTTATTACTTAACTCCTACTTTCTCTATTTACTTTCATGTTTTTATGAAATTTCAAAAAGTCAGCCTGAATAATTGGCACCAAAAACTTGGACTATCGTGACCAACTGAAAATACCGTATCGGCATCAGGTTGCAATTGTCATGTGAATTATGAAAACAGCAGTACATTTTTAGGCTGGTTCCAACCTATATTCTGAAAGATTATTTATTTTGATAATTCTGAGATTTATTGATCACTTTTTAATAATATTGCTTAAAAATATTATAACTCTATAAGTTTACTTAACTCCGAGATAGTAGTATAGAGTGAAGACACGTGATTCACAAGCGTATAAAAAGAAAACTGCATTTACCTACCTTTTGGCCTGAAAATAAAAAAAATAATAAAAATATAAAGCGATAAACTTAATATTCAATATCAAATTTAATATATTTGTATTAAAAATTGTATTTATTGAACTTTATTGTTGAACTTATAATAATTTTTCATTTTTTAAACATTTGTATATAAAAAAATTAAATCACATGATTTGAATGACTTATTCTGTTGACCGAATATAATAGCGAAAGTATAAATTCTACATATTTAATATTAGTAATTCTTGTGTAGATACAATAAAAAATCGAAGCTCATTAAATTTATACCACAAGTATCGTAAGTTGAGTGCAGAATCAGAAGCTTTGGTATTGTATCATGCTGTTTTACTAGTTTAAAATTTCCACCATTAATCATATTTACATACTACTAGGTGACTTCAAAAAAAAGAAATTTGAAGAAAAATAAAATTGAATATTTCAAAAAAGTAAACTTTTCAATTAAGATATAGAGATCTGTGATGTATCTCAATAATTACCACAAAGTATATGCTATTATTTTAGGAAATATGGAAAATAAAAGTCAGCATGTTTGGTCAGGTGCTGCAAATCATACCTTGTTGACCAAAATATTCTGTTTTCTGTATACCTCACTGAACAATGATTGACAATAATATATACGATTACAATAGGAAACAATATTAGCTAAGACTCGAAACAAAAGCAATAAAATCAAAATGAAGAAACTGAAACAAAAAAAAAATACATCATTTTGAATTGGATGACAAAAGTCTAATGAATTGAAACAGAATGGAAGATATGCCATGCCGTTCACTTACTGTGCCAATCAATTTTCGTAATGAATGGTCAAATAATGACGCAATAATGAAATAACGATGGCATAATATTTTAATGGTGAATTTAGACTATTACATTATAAATTAGACTTCTAGACAATTTCCTCAAACCACCTTTCAAATTTTCTCTTTTCTGCAAATTTACAAATTTGCAATTTACCATTTACGATTTTTCTTACCATCCCTCTTTCTCATGCTATATGAATGCCTATTCTAATTACTAAAGAGATTCAAATTCAAATTTTGGGTTAAGTGGTTGTAAGAATTTATAGTATATCAAAACTTATACTTGTATCACTCAAGTTGTACAAATAATTGTTTAGTATTATACTACTCGAAACTATATTTACGATTGCATTTCTGCGTCATCCATGCAGCTGTATCCTAAATGCCGTTTAATATTCGAAATCAGAATGCGCATTTTGGATATCCCAAATGCGAAGATTGTTTTGGATATGAATTTGCCGCAAATGCGAAAATGCTTTGAGATAATACCCAAAATGAACACCACTTTCCCAAAATAATCTCTTCCAATTGTCTTGAATAGCCACTTCAGTTTTCCTAATTATCATTTCGTTTGCTCAATATAACTATTTTACGTGCTCAAAAAAACAATCATGAATAATTAATGACCAATATAGGGCATCTTAAATATTCATTCAACTTTTAACATATATGGGAGCTGATCTATTAAAAATGGGTTACGGGAACTTTTTACAAAAAATGAGATTTTTGATTCATATTATAGTA